TCTATTTTTCATTAGTGTTTATAATGTGCAAAAAGCATGTAACAATAATTGAAAAATATTTTTATTACAGTATAGATTAAATATAATTATATCATTTTGTGCTATTTTTTGTAACAAACTATCATATATTAGCAATTTTTTGGTATTTATTTTTATTTTTTGCCAGTTTTGACAGAAGAACATAAAAATAATTATTCTATCGTTCACTTCCGTCAAAGTTAGATGACCAATTTTAAGCTTTTCGCTTGAATAATATTTTCCTTGTCGAAAAAGTGATTCACAAAAATAAAAGCCACGAAAGTAATGTGCATTGGAACGTGCATATAATTGAAATCTCTATCGCTTTATCATCCGCGTGTCTGCCCACGCGTTACATCTGATCGATCAAACTAATATATAGTGACAAGGTGAAACACATTCCCGGGTTATGCAATAACTAGCACCAGAGATTAGTTTTCATGCGTTTAAAGTATACTCAAACACGAAATAAATATCAAATGCTCTCGAACAATAAACTATGGTTGACTATTACAAAATATTTTAATTGATTGCCTCGATATCAAAGATAAATTGATATGCTATACATTCAACGATCGTTCAATTAGAATTCAAACAGTTGAATTGTCGACACTGGAAAGTGTCAACGGTGAAAAACATATATGAAAAGTTAATCGAATCAAATTTTACAAACGAGTATCGAAAGCGATGATGATTAGAAAAAAGAAAAAAGTATATTAAAAAATATTAATGATTTTTGTTAATTAATTATACGCATTTCGCGCGATAAAACTTGTATTACATATTAATTGGCGGAGGCTTGAAACTTTGCTGCGAAGAAATCGTCTAGAATGTTAATCAGCTGATATTGAAAAGTTGATTATTATAAAAAAATGTCTTAATAATTAATTTCCTTTATTGCCAATATTTGCCAATAATTACATTGATATAATTATTGACATAAAGATCATTGAATTATAAATATGATAAAACGTAAATTTGAAATTTTATTTTAATTAATTGTAACTTTTTTATACTACATTTGATATTTTTGAGGTAAAATTGCGCGCGTGTAGCACATGCGATATTATATTCAGTTTAAAAAACGATGAAGTGTAATATTTTATCAATCTGCGCGCGATGCAATACGCTTTGTTCCAGATTTTGTGGGTTTGAGTATTGTTCTGTTCGCTGCAAGAAGTTACCGTTGGAGCGCTAGAAATTTCCGGTAAAAAACAATGACGTTCAATTGTTGTGAGAATCTACGCGAACAAATGATCGAACGCCCGGGCTTATTTGCAGATAATTTTCGTAATGCACGCTGTTCTAAATCGATGAACGTGTCGGAAAATATCTTAAACAAAGTAAACGTAATAAAGAGAAATAAAAGCAATGATTTCCAACAGACATGTCTGATACGAATTTTTTAGATTGAGATTGCGATAAAATATTTCACAAAATCATTGATGGCAAAAAATTGCCCGACGCAAATCGCGCCCATTTTATTTACGTTGGCTGATTTGCCGCGCATTTTAGCATCTGAGAAACGTTACATATTATTTATGTTATTAAAGGAAGCAACGAAGGACGTGGCTCGCTGTTGTCAAATACTTGAAGGTATTGTTGGTTCAATTGAAAACGAGATATTTGAGAGACGTGAATTTTTAGTTAGAGAAAATGGATTTTATAAAAAGATTAAAATGCTTATTAATACAAGATCTCTAGCGCTTGGTATCTATTTTTTTAATTTCTATTTTTACTGAAGCTAACGTTTAAATGTAAGATTGCACGCTGCAAAGGCAAGTTTATCATTCCATTAAATCCCTAGAAATTCGTATAACAATTTACAAATATAACGTGGATATTTATAAACGCTTCGTATATAAATCTGCGCATTTAAATAATGAAGCAACTACCAACTTTGCAAATTATCGTACTCCAAATAAGTCCTACAAGCGCAGCATTACAGAATTATTTCGCCATCTTTATAAATTATGCAAGCTAGTACGGCTATCCCTTTATTTATTTTTATTGCTATACCCGCTAATTCACGGGAGATAGCATTTTTCGCACGATGTTCCTCGCATTGCATAAAAATTCATGTAATATTGCAGAACCGCCGGCGCATATTCAGACAAAGACTCTCCTAAATCTCATGAGTAATTTTATTCGCGAATGGGGAGAAAGACCATGTGAAGTGCATTCCCATTTAAAAATCTGCAGGTTCTGCGACAGCATTATCAACGACGAAGCTCGGCAATACACGGTATAAAATATGAGTTATTAACATAATACTCTAGCAAAACGCGAGAAGATTTAACAGTTTTAACGCAGTCTCTGTCTCCTCCTCCCTTTGCAAAGCGATCTTCATCTCGCATATAATTCAATTTAGAGAAAATTTTGTCGCTGCGAGGCGAAACATTTCGACCGACTGCGGAACGAATGGATTTCGCTACACGTGTCACAAGTAATTTCACTTCGCAAACTATTCTCATTCGACGGACGGATTCACTGTTTCCCATTGCTCTCGCGGAATACATCAAAGTGCGAATCCGTCATTTTCCCCGAACGCAAAATTGATTATCGCAATGAGAATATTCCGCGGGAAGAAGAAAACGCCGCAGAAGTCCGACGTAGCCCGCGATTAATCTCCGCCAATAAGAATGACGTATCGATACTTTTGTGCGAGCGACAGTGTGAAAACCGCGCTGACTTTCAAATGAAGACAAATCCGAGTAGTAGTTCGGGAGCGCGCGACATGCGTCAACGCGACGTCTCGCTCGTCCCGGCGGAAGTTAGCGCGCGAGAAATCGAACGCCCGGCCGGATCGGTCCGCGAAGCGGGTCACCGTCGCGGAATCGGCCGCGAGGATCCATCAGAAGCGAACGGCGATCGTTCACTTCGGCGCGGAAAAACAGAAGCGTCGGCAGGTGGAGCACGTAGCGACGGCGGCGCAAAAAATACCGACACGCTGGCGGAAAGAATACGCGAGAGACGTGACAATAATCCGTATCGGCGCGAACTCGGCGAGATCGGAGATAAAGACCGGCAGGATCGCCGTTCGGCTCAACGTGACGTGCAAGAGGAAGGAGCGAGCGGATCGCGGATCGCGGCTGGAAAAAGCGACGGAGATACGGGCGATGTGAAGACGAAAGAAAACGGCGCCGTGCGCGGTGATCCCAGGCCTTATCAGCGCGGTCGCAGGGAGGAGCGCGGGACGCGATTGTCGGATAACGGCGCGGAGAAGATCGGCCGATCCGATCGAGCCGAGCAGAAGAGCGCGTCGACAGAGATATCGAGGAATCCGGCCAAAAGGCTCGCGGTACAGCGAGATGGCGATCGACGCGAAAACGAGGAAAAGCCGGTTGCTCGTGAAGATAAAAGGAAAGCCGGAAGTGATAAGGACGAAGGAACGACGCTTCTAAGTAAGAATAAAGAGCCTCGGGTTGGAAGTAAGAAAACGACAGATTCGCTTGATGACGCGGAAAAGGGGCGCTTCGCCGTTAATAAAGAGGGAAAACTTTCCGCCAGTGATGGAAGGCGCAAAAATGCGTTAACCAGTGAAAGAAACGATCTCGAGGAGAAAAAATGGAGAGCCAGTGAGCGTGCATAAGTTTTTCTAAAATACAGTTTTACATAAATTGAAAAGAGAAGACTGATGTAATACTGTTTGGCTTGATATAAAGATTTTGTTGACAGATTATCTTGCTCAAATTTAACCAAAGAGTGCGGCCAAGTTCCCTTTTCCACTAAAATTTCCATATTTTGAATATTCCAATAAGTGGTACATAAAATTGAAGCTTAGGACCGGTAGAATCTGAAATCTCGGTATTATCCTTTCAGCCATTTACGAGAAAAAGATTGCAATCTCAATAGATGGCCTTGGCCAAAATTTTAAAAATAACTGTTTCTAAATCCAAAATATTTTATTTTAATCATAAACGTTAAATAAAAATTGTAGAAGGATGAATTTGAATAAACGTGAACTTGAGTCGAGCAGATAACGCACAAGTTCGGGCCACGCGCTAGTTTGGCCATCCATTGAGATTGCAATCTTTTGGACCGTTTTTCTCCCAAACAGTTGAGAAGATAATACTGAGACTCCGCATGCAATGAGACTCTTTTATGCAATTTTTACTAGAGTCGAGTTGTTTAAACGTTTTGAGTAATTTAAATAGTTTAAAAGCAGTGATCGATCTGTGACATCAATCCGTAATGTTTAAAGATTCGAGCAGTTCGGATAGCGAAAACAAATTGAACCACGAATTGCGTACATTGCAAACGGAAAATGAACAGCTTTCTGTTTTGCCTCACTTTACGCAGATGTCAATATCATGTCGTCAATATTGACGTTTTTCACATTTGTGCAATTTTTGTTTGTAAAATGTTTAAAAGGCTGTGTGTGAGATTATTTTAATAGATTTCTCAATGGAAACAGTGCGGAATGTAATGCGTGCAAAAAGTTGATTAAAACAACACTGAATAGACGCATAATATGAATTCGCAACAAGCACAACTGAGATTACACCAAGCGTTTCACTTAATAACATCTTACACTTCCGGTTAACAATTTTTCAGATCGTGTATTATCTAGATATTTATACATCTAAGGATGATTTGACAGTTCGGCATTCCTAAACGTTGGACATGTGTGAAAAATCAAATCTAACACTAAAATATTAACGATAGCAGCAATAAATAAATTAATTATGGTTTAAAATTTTTAGCCAGCAATGATAAACAAATATTTAGACAAATATTTATTAAATATACGCAGAAAATATTTTCAAATCGTTCGAATTGTTGGACTTTCGAATCGAAAAGATGCAACTATTTGACCTTTGATCTCGAGAGCCGAACTATAATCCAAACTGCTCGACCACGTGAAACTTTCAAACACTAGCTTTTAATACTCACGCTAAGTGCACGTATCATTGCAAATTGCATCGTCATTGTGGAATGCAATCGATTCCGGTTACCAGACTTCAATTTCTATTTCGTAGACCCTTCAAATCCGATCGAGTACCGACTATCGAACGTGCACTTTGTGAAACTCGGTTGGACTTCGTTGCCGATAACCAAAAGCATGAGAAAAATCGTTCAATATGAAGCCAGGCCGGCAAAACCAAATCTGTGGTGAGCTAAAATCCGCAGAGATATCCGCAAAAAAATAATATAAATATGAATCTAACTTACTTTGTTCAAAGTAATTCTTTGCTCGTATTGCGTGATAAAATCGTAATACATATTGATAAAAAAAGGGTTTAACATAAAGTTTACGGCAATTCAATTAGAGATGAGAAAATTTAAGTTAATGCTAATTTTTGTAAGACTCGAATGCAATATTGATATTTTAATGCAGAATTGAATAACTTAAAAATTAATTGACTTGATTTAAACGGCTTGATCGCTATCGTATCGCTCGTCAGAAATTAGTAGGTTGTGCAAATAGTAAATTAAAGCAATTTGAAAGTAAGCGGAATAAACAGCGATTAAATTACGTTCTAGCCGACTTCGTACAAACCTCATGATTAGTTACTAACGAGTAAACAATTAGGGCGGACGAATACAATTAATGGGACGGTAAATACATTTTAATTTGCCGTAATGAGAAGCCACGTAATATTGAGCAATCAATCGCTAAATGATGCAGTAATTTGTTTGTTTGTTTATTAGGTTCAAAAAATATGGGCACAAGGGCACGGTTTATTATGACGATGGAACAACATTATTTCTGAAATTCCATTCCGACGGTTCCAGCGAGATATTTTATCCGAACGGTATATTGGCTATCAGAGTTTACAGACCCGAAAACCGGAAATGTAATTGAGTTATTTACATAATACGATTTATACGAAATGTTTCATCGCCAGTGAATATTATTCCAGTCATAGATTCCCCGATTAAATGCACATCTATTGATACATTTTATTTTGTCCCGCATGCGTTATCAAGCTTGACGCTCAAATTGTTAAATAATTTTTCGAATCGCGTTGATTTTCGCCCGTCAGTCGTTTTGACGGTCGGACTCGTAAAGTGCTAAGGCCGACCTTCGCGGTCAGAGTTTAAAAAAAAAAAATGACCGCTATCGATTTCAAGACGATATGTACACCGTGTTCGCGCCAGGAGGCAAGGACGCGCTGGGTATCGAGAGGGCATCTCAGATCCTGGCGATATTCGACACGATGGGGAACGGCGTCGTCCTCGACGAGGACGGCGCGGCGAGGTACGCGCGGAAAAAGAATTTACAAAGAATGTTTAATTACTGTCGAGGGAGCGCTCGCGCTCGCCAATTCAGGACTCCAATTACTTCTGCAGGCTGTCCTACAACCAGATCGGTGGAATTTTTACGGACAATCCCGCCGGTCTGCCCCTCGCCTGGACCTGGCGCGTTGGTCCGAAGGAGCCGATACTCGAGACTGTGTACACGGTGGGTGCGAACAGTTTACCAGAGCTCTCCTTCAGTATAGATTTTCGATCAATCATGAATAAGCGAGCCGAACTAGAATCTTTCATCTTCCTTAACTTTCCCATCGCATTACAGATTACGCAAAATCGACTTGTTACGCCGCTTCTGAATCTTCGATGCAAAATAATTTATGTGTTGTACAAAAAAAAAAGAATATAGTTTATATGTTCTATAAAAGATATTGCTAAGCTGTGTTTTAGTCCGCAAAAACAATTCGAAATAAACGAGCTTTTCTTCTCGTCGTAGGAAAAATTCACCGACCAGTTGCAAATGAAATTTGCTCCCGCGATAGATGAACAGGCGAACAGGTGAATCGCACATTTAAGGGGATCCTAAAGTGGTCTGTTTTACCTATTTTTTTCAAATTTTTTTTGGCTGTGTAGAATGAAAAGTCCTTTTTTGTAAGTAAAGTACATATGCTAATACACTACGGATGGTCGATTTGAAAGGATTTTTCAAGCCACGCAGCCAAAAAAAACAAATTTTACGAAAAATAGAAGGTAAAACAGAGACGTATCTGTTAGTCATCCGTAGTGTATTAGCATATGTACTTTACTTACAGAAAAGGACTTTTCATTCTACACAGCCAAAAAAAAGTTAAGTGTATTTGAAAAAAATAGGTAAAACAGACCACTTTAGAATCTCCTTAAGGATTTATATACATGTATTATACATATAAAGCAGCGACGTTCATGCGCGCCACTTTTTGATTATTTTGTTTCGTCGACTCCGTAGTTCCGGAAATGTTAAGACACCGATATCACAGTCCAGTTCGAGAAATAAGGAAAAGAAGGTCGTCGAGGTACGGAAACCTGTTGTCGAGCAACGACAAGAAGGAGAGGTCGAAAGCAAGTATGTCAGGCAAAAAAGTAGAGCGAATTCTATCCGAACAAAGCATTCTAATTACGCGATGTTGTCTTTCTCAAATTAAATTACAGCAATTGCGTATTTTATGAAGCATATCAATTAAAGTATCCTATTTAAAATAAATATGCTATTTTACATATAAATTAATATAGTATGTTGAAATTGCGTGCATAAATATATATTATTCTCGATTTGCAATTAATAAATTGTCAATACTTTCAGACTGAATGACAATCGAGATTCTTCTGGCAAAAACACTTTTCACATAAAAATAATTTGCATGAAGTTGAATGAATTTCTCAGCTTGCGAATTATCGATCAAAAGAATATCAGTTTACAATTTTCTGTTAAAAATAAACGAATCAGGTACTTGAAATCGTAATAATATAAAATACTCTAATCATACTTCTCGCCGACTCTACTTCTATTTCATTTCAGAATAGAATTAGGCACTATCTTGAATTTTAATAAAGAAGTAGCGTCTTACGTGGTGGAAGCAAGCGATTGGAAAAGCGATCTGCTGAAGTAAATCAATACTATAACGCAAAGAGAAACTTGTCAATTAAACACGTGACAGAAAATTGCGCTTCCTTCACAGATGCAGATTCCAGGAAAATTTATCCAAAAAATTAGAATCCGACAGCAGTTTGTGCGATTTAGCTAAGGAGTATCGAAAAGTGAAAAGATACGCGAAAGAACGTAAAGCTATGATTGCCAAGTACAGATTTTTCTGAAAATTAACTATGGCTGCAATTGCAAAGTCGAGAACAGCACTGAAAGATTTTAAACTACGCGGGATTGAAGATACATGAAACTTCGCCTATCTATCGGACTCTTTCCTCGGCTATTGTCTTAAAAATATATATAAATCATAGTTGAAGGAAAGGAGACAGAAACGCAGATGTATATAAATAAAAATTATCATGTAATTAAAATAAGTCTCAAACAATTAATTGTTACGGATGTTCTGCGAATACATTTCTCGCAATTGGTTTAATAACGTACACAACACATTTAAGCGCATTGCATTTGTGACGTATACGCTTCACGTGTACGTGTATTTGTCAGTATGTATGTGTGTGTGTGTGTGTGTATGCTCTGTGTGTGTGTGTGTGTGTGTGTGTGCTTAAAACACATACGTAAAACATATTCCCAATTCCCGGGAATATTCCTCGACGGATACCTTAAGTACTAAGCGAAAAAAAGTAGGAAGGGGCAATGTCGTACAATTTTGATCAATAAATTAAGTTAGATCGATCTGGAATGCATAGTTAGAAATAGGAAGGGTAGAGAGATAAAATAAATAGTCTTCTCGTTGAATCTTAAGCGACTTAGCGAGCGCTCCACGATCGGGAGCGCTTCCACGCCACGGAATTGGACGCCATTAGGAGACGCGCGTTAAACGCTTCGACGACACTCTAACCACTTCGAGACGGACACGTTTTGTTTTTTCTGTTTTTCTTTTCCTTTTTTTTTTACCGGGTAGCGCTTGCTGAACCGCCTGAGATTGAAGAAACGTGTGAGACAACCGGGGCATCCGAGCGTCGTCGCCGCCGCCGACGTCGGCGCGCGCGCGCGATTCTCGCGCGGAAGTCGCCGGCGCGGGAGGGGAGGTGCACGCGATGAAACGCGATGAGGTACGATGACGAAGGGCGAGGAAGAAACGCTCGTCGCGGCGTAACGTGTGTCGCGCGCCCGTATAAATAATAGCGCGACGCGCGGAGAGACGCGAGACAAGCGGGGGCTCCCTGAAGGGCTCCGTCCGACTACCCGCGCGGTCTATTTACAAATGCCCTCCTGGAGACTACTCTGGCGATTGCGATCGATCTCTCGATCTCCCTGACACCGCGGGACACTGTGAGAAGACGCGCGCTGATCGCTATCGCGCCGCCGGTGATCACGAAGCGTCGCGGAGATCGATTCACCGATTACGCGCGCGCGCACGCGCGCGCGCGTTTCATCGATCGCGATAATTGGTGAGGAAAGGAGAAAAAAAAAAGAAAAAGAAAGAAGAGGCCGATCGCCGGAACACGATCGGTGGAACACGCGCCACACTGGCTTCCCTCTTCGTTTCACCCCTCCTCTCCCCTCCGCTCTTCCAGCCTTCCTCGTCAGGTCAGCTCTTATTTACATGCCGCTCGAAGATTCTCCGTTCGATCGAATTCGCGCCTTCCCCGATTGACATCGATCTAGTCGGCGTCTCTCCCGACTCGACCGTGATTGACGCGACTAGACTAGACGCGAAGGGCCCGCCGCGATGGCGGAGGGGAGAGGGGAGGAGAGCGCGGTCGCAACTTTCGACGAGGAGAGAATCTCCGACGTGTCTCTCGGGCCCTCGAATGAAATAGCGGCGTGTCGCGGCGCGGTGTGTCTTGAAGCGCCCCGTCGTTCGGGGGAGGGTCGGCGATTCCTTCCGGCGGAAGGCCGTGTCCCTTCCCTCCTCCCTCCTGCGGCGAGTTTCCTTCTCCTTTTTTTATCCTTTTTTGATTTTGCGCACCCGTGTGACGCGAGCTCTTCAGTTGGCGACCTTCACGAACTCCGGATTCGGCACGCTGCAACTGTCCGCGTACGCCGGATGCACGAAGCCGCCGCCCATCGCCGCGTTCTTGCGATCCACCGCGCGCACCCTGACGAAGAGGAAGGCCGCGACGAGGGACGCGACGACGACGACCAGCAGCAGCATCACCAGGCCGCCCACGAAGCCCGGCAGGCTCATGCAGATCGTCTCCGGGTCGGCGGACGCGCTGGCGTTCTGTATGACGACGGTGGTGTCGTTGCCGGGGTTCGTCGTGCCGAGGGCGAAGTTCACGTCGCCCGGCGCCACCACCTGGATCACCCGCGACGTGTTCACGTCCGTCATCTCCTGCGCCGCTCGCTTGTACACGTGGGTGGAGAACAGGGTCACCGTGCGATAGGCGTTCTGAAAAATCGGGGATAACCGTTGTTAGCATCAACGAGTATTCCAGCGCGCCTAGTGGGATGCCGAACGGTACCGCGGGACGCGTCATTGATAATGTACTCTTGATGAACCGCGTTGCCGGTAAATTGAGAGAAGATAACGAGCTTGCGCTCGACAAGGAAACGCGTCTCCTTTCATTTTAATTCATTCGCGCTGATCTCACTTGTAAACGTGTATTGCATCCGAGTGCGGAATTAGAAAGAAAAAATTCTCAAATACTTACGCTATCGTCGTCGTCGAACTCGCGCGGCTCGTCGTGCCTTCGCCGTCTGGCGCCCCTGAGCTCGGCCGGGAAACCTTCAACGGACCTCGGTCGACCTCCGAGGATGGCTAGGTTATTTTCCTCCGTGCCGGCGGTGCCTTTTCGCTTCACAGTCTGGTACGCCGCCGAATGGCCGGGCAGAGGGGGCGGCGGGAGGTGGATATTGTCCTGGGGACTCTGGGGTGAGCTGCTCGCCGTAGCGTCGCCCGGCGTCGAGCTAGGCGAAGAGGAGGAGGTCTGTGCCTGCGGCGCCGGAACCACGTCCGGATGCGGCTCGCTGCGGACAGAGATTAATTTATATTATTTTGCAACAATCCTTACGTCGCTGCGTCGTTTCGGTGCGCGCAATTCATTTGAATATTCAATTCCGGCGTAAAAGCGTAATTGACGGCTTTGTTACAAATGTCATTCCTCAAAGATATTTATCCTTTTATCGTATTTTCTTATTAAAAAATGTTATATTTTAGAAAATTGGTATAAAATTTTTGAATCTTTTCGAATTGTAACGATTTGCCAGCAAGAAATCTCGACAAGGAATCCAGCCGGATCCCCTTTCGTCGCGCCAAGATCTTAATGGACATGTTCGCAGAAGAGCTTTCTTCAAAGAGCAATTACGCATCGGTGCTCGTACGCTTTCTCACCTGTGCGCTCCGGCCGGTCCGCTGGGATGTCGCGGATCAGGATAAGCCGGTGGCACGCCGTATTCGGGCACAGGCGGGGCACGTATTCCGAGGTGAGGCCTTGCGGCGCGCCATATTCGTGAGAGATGCCGGCAGGTGCGCCGTATTCCAGTCCAGGATATCCACACTTAGGCTCGGGACAATTGTACCGGCAGACTTGGATCACGCATTGGAAATGCACGTTCATGCTGTCGGGGAACTTGAAGGCTTGGAAGTAGGCGAAGCTGACGACGGACGCGCTCGGGCCAAAGTTCTTGATCTTTTGGAACCTGCGGAGAGATTATTTTACAATTTCACAATATTAATTCACAATATTATTTATGTCACCCATACAGCACAGAATATTGCAGCAACATTGCGGCAATATTGCAATGTTCTTGCAACGTTGCTGGAATGTTGCAATATTGCCGCAATGTTGCTGCAATATTCTGTGCTGTATGGGCACACTCTTCGATTGCAACGCCATTCGATATGAAATATCATCACGACGCTCACCTCGACATGATCTTCGGCCTGACGACGCAGCCGTGCTGATCGACCAGCTGAATCGGCGCCCGCTTGCCGTCGTGCGCGACGCAGTTTCTCACCAGCATGTCGAACTTGTTCTCGTCGTCCTTGATCGCCAGCACCATCGTCATCGTCTGCCCGATCTTCACGATGCCGGACACCTCGCTGGCCCACGGGCCCTTGCCCACCTGTATCTGCATCCAGCACTGCAGGTTGTCGCCGAGAAAGTTGGCGGTGACGGCGTGCAGCATGTCGACCTGGAACGGCCGGAACGTGACCGCTTTCTCGTAGAAGTCGTACCAGGTGCAGCGCAGCTTCCGCGCCTGGTCCCACACCTCCTGCACGTACGGATCGTACTGCACGATGATGGTGTTCTCCACGTAGCTGCCGGACGGCGTCGGTGCGCCGTAAGCCGCGACGTTGTGATTCGCCGACGAGCTCATGCCGCACGAATTCAGGAAGATCTCAAAGGTGGCGCTGAGGTGGCCGGTGCCGGGCTTCAGGTGCACGCAGTGCGGATCCGAGTAGAAGCCCTTGCTGAAGATCATGCCGTAGAACGGCCGGTCGAACTCGATGTTCACCCGCATGTGCGTCTTCTCGCACTGCACCTGCAGATGCTTGATCTGCGGGGTGTCGGGCGTCGCCAGCGGCCAGTTCTCCTCGTGGACGACCGGCGGGCCATATTGCGCCGGGACTCCGTACACGGATCTGTGCTCCAGAGGCAGCGCGCTGCTGTCGACCAGCGGCGCCTCGCTCCGCACGCCCTGATCACGAAAATAAATAATGCTTGAGAGTTCGAAGCAACAATGCAAGAGAAACAGCGCGCGATTTCCCACGCAGCGCGGAACGTTGCGGCAACGTTGTCAAAGCATTTGCGTGTAAAATCGAGAAATACGGAATGATGGAATTGAGCGCGTGAAGGATCGATACGTAATATTTGCCGTCTGTTTGCCAAGCGTGTTATTAAGATACGAGTATTGCGCGAAGAAAACTTTTACGACTCGCCTATTTGTTCAGAAGAGCGTAAAGTGAATGTTGCGCGCTGCAACAACGGGACGGCAATTTTCGAGGACCGCGCGCGTGCCCTTCTCGAGACCCTGCACGTACGTGCGTTTTAAAACCATCCTGCGGTTTTTATAACGGGGGATCCGACGAAAGTTGTAACAGTTGCATTGTACGTGACGAAAAAGTAACGATTCGTCGACTTTCTTTATCGACTCTTTTTTTCTTTTCTCTTCAACGGCAAGTCGCGCGCTTCCACTGAAAACTCCGATCTTTCCGAAATTACAACGAGTACGCCTTCTTTCGCTCTTCTCTTTGTCGCCACACTCTTCATTCCGCCCGAAACAAGAATGTATTAGGAATTCCACGGATGTCGTCAACCGTTGCGATCTTTCGCGGAATGCCAATCGACATGATTTACGGCGCTCGAAATTCCGCAGGATCGTAAAGAGCAGCCACTAACCGACCTTGAGAAAAAACGCTTTTGTATCCCGCATCTTTAAAGCTCGCTACTGCATTGAAGACGAGAGGATTGTTGATCGCATGAGAGCGCGGTATTGATCTCTCTATATTCTCGATTTACCTTTTTCTCTGCGAACCGTCCGCTTCTTTTCACGCTGTATAAAAATATGCTAAAATATTTAATCGCTATTCTTGATAAATTAGCGTTTAAATCTCATCGAGCGATTCATTTAAATTGTGAAGTGAGACAAATTATGCAACTTTGACGCGAGTGTCGGTGAAATAATTAATTAATACTATCTACGAAATAATATTTTTATCAACATCACTCCGTGATCGACACACGTCGCGAATCGAATTGTGCTAACGTGCCAACAAGTACCGTATGTTAATAATGCTCGAAGATATGCTGGCAAAAAACGTGACCGAAAACGCGTGTACTGTTAGCCTTGAAGAAGCGTTCAAGAGGAATCGAATTCGGGTTTACATACGAAAGGTCGGACGTATCCGATGACTCCCCCGGGCAATCTTGTATTCTAATTCGCGCAGCGCGCCGCGGGAACGCAATTACGGGAAGCTGCGTGCCGAAACAACGTCCACACTTCCGTCGGGAGATCGTTCTAAATGAGATTTTGCCCGTGGCAGCATGTCTATCGTATTTTTTCATGCTTTCTCCAATTTGATACGCAGCTGTAAACACTGCTTCGTCATTAGCTTAATATCTATCTCTGGCGTCTCGAGCATTTTTACGTTTAATTCCATGACACGAAAAATTAGCGACTAGATAAAACGTACGGCAGAGATGAAAATAGTGATCGCGGGTTCGTAAACAGGTTGCAGATACATTCGCGTGATAACAAAGTATCGTATTTCATTGTGCGACGATAAAAAAAAAAAAAAACACGAAGAGACGCGAGGAATATGCGGTGTTGCTGCAGGAATAACTGTATAAAACTAGACCGTCGTGTGCTACAATGTTGCAGCAGTCTCCATTATAAGGTAATTACAGAAATCAAACGTTTGCGTTTAATCGCACGCGTGATCGTAAACTAGATCACGCGTACTCCGACGTTCATTGATACGCCAATTGATTTCCGACAGCATTAATTGGCTTATCAAATTGTAAAGCGCGGCGAGACGAAGAGTTTTTCCAGAAATCGTCGGGAAATCGCGAAGATCGCTGTGAAATTTCGAAGGCGTTCAATTCTGGGGCGGAAAAGTCTCGTTTTTTTTTTTTTTTCCCATCGGTCTCAATAACACGGCTGTAACTTCCCGGGAAAAACCGGAACGGCTATCGCCGCGCGCTGTAATTGGAGGGAACATTAAGAGAGCGCGAAGTAAACAGATCATCGTGTTAACCGTCGGATGGTACCAGTCGTGACGGCCGGATGACAGTGGCGATTCACGATCACCGGGGGAGCGCGGCTTCGTAACTGGGCAGGTCGACGACGTATACGCATACCTGTCCGCTTTCTTGTTCCACTTGCACCTGCACCTGATCGGGGCTCGCGGACTTTCTGGATAGAAAAATATATACGGAACCGGTCGGCGCGCATAACGAAATCACGCTCCGCTACGATTGCACAAAAGCTAAATAAGCGCAACCGGTCCCTCTACGCCGGTCCACCGAATTTTCAGCGCAAATACGCGCGTGCTTAATGTAGGTCAGGGTGAAAAAAAGGAAGCGAGTCTTCGTGAATGTAACATAGATCCATTGGCTTTTCACAGTTCCGAGTTATTAATTAATTTTATTAAAATATTTCTTTATTTTTATTTTATCTCGCTAATATTTTAATGCACTTTATTTCTAATTTTTTAAATATGTAAATTAGAAAGAGAGAGAAAGAGAGAGGAATATAATTATAATTTGCACGAATTATGAAACGTGACTCTTGAATTTAACATTCAGCGAAAAATAACTTTTGTGATAAATCGTTAATCTTAGTATCAAATATAACTTTTGTGACAAATCGTCAGTTTAAATAGAAGTTACGCGTTAGCTGATAGTCCGCTTTAAAATATTTAAAGTCTGTAATAAATTATAAAGATATAATCGGATGTGGTATAAGAAGAAACTTATACTTATAAAAAGCATGACATCTTAATTTCTGGAAATTTTATTACAAAAATTACAATATATTAAAAATTAAAAGAAGTAGAAATCTTAAATATTTAACAACCAAGACTTTAAAATTAGCGTGCCGCAGAGTATAAATTTATCTTCGTGCGATTTAATTTCAAGCTGCGCCTTCTTAACGCGAACGGGACACGCCACGAAGGACGTGAACGAAGGATGTCGTGATCGCGGCTGAAAACAAGCTGATTTCACTTTTCCATTGTTGGACAACGAATTGCTCGCAACTGGACAAACGCACTTTCACCGAATCGCGTGCGCGGAACGAACATCTTAATTGTCAAACGGATGTGACATCTCTCTCCCGTTTCGTTAACGCCGATTTCAGAGGTTCCGCTTTAATCGCGCGCGTTTTCCACAATAACGCCATCGCCGTGCCGTTTAATAGGTTGAGTGCTGCGGCAGAGATACCGGAGTTCGATATTTCACGCCGGCGATATTTTTATCTTCCTCACGTTGTGTACTTGAAAGAGCACTTGATATAACTTTCGGAAGAAAAATTTACAGTACAGATTGCTTTAACATTTTTAATTAATGAATGAAAATTTCTCAACCGAACAATATTATTAGCAAACTTTTTCCAACAGATCGATAATTGTCTCAGCACAGTAAAGAGGAAAGTTCTGCGAAGAATAACGCAACGGCAAAGTTGTATTTAAAATTGTATCGAAAGAATTGAAGAGATAGAAATTTTGATAATTTTATGCGCAAACTGCAACAACCGCGCCGCCTTCCGTTTAGAAAACATGGCGG